CATCATGACGATTGAGTGATCCATCTTGTAGATAGAATATGTCAAAGACACTCTACAAAAACTGTGTGCATGGGATCCGTCTTAGACCCTACAAATATAATTAATGAAGCTGACGAAACTATTAAACGCGACCAACGCAATAAAAACACCTTAGATTACACTATTGCAGCAATTCTTCACAGTAAAAGTATTAAATTTAAAGTCGATGAACTTTACAAAAAAAGAATGTTTAAAGTTGGAATTTTTCAGCCATCACAAACCTACAATGGATACGAAGGCTGTGTGGACAACTTATTAAATTAGCAAAATTAGTTTAGTCACACTTTATTTAATACTCTTAAAATCTAACGGGTATTAGGTACAAAATATATTTATTCTCAAACGATTAGTTATTTACTGAGTAAGGTTATAATAGGTATTATAACAATTGAACTGCAAAAGCTGAGTAGTTGTTAAATAATAACTAAGCACCTCGTTGTTGTTCGCTGCAAGTTGTATTGTTATAGGATTAATTATGATGGAAAGGGCTTGCCTTTACAGATGTACCGGGTGAAGGATGCTTGGGGTTCTTAAATATAGAATACGAGTCTTAGGCAAAGAGCATTACCAGTTCTGTTGATATTCAGGAATTTACCGCGTGATCTTAGATTTGTAACGGAGGTGGAATATTTTCCTGATGTGCTAAAACCTATAAATATAATAATTGGAAACAATATACTAGTAATACCACGCTAATCTTTATACAGTACCACTCATAGCTGACTATACAAATTTTTTAAGCACAATTTGGCTGAATTTGAAGATTGAATACCGAACACATATAACATAAAGACATACTTACGTAGTTTCTATGTAAGATTTCAGAAGTTTTTTAAAGCTGGACATGTTTTAAACTAACATGTGATTGGGTGTTCCCAATCTACCTTTGCCTTACTTGAGACACTAATTCGTGAACCTAGTCCCCGGTTCTTCCTTGATGTCTTCTGTGCTTTTATGATTTATGTGCTGCCATCTGCCTTTAGTTCTTCTTTTATGATTTATGTGCTGTCACCTGTCTCTAATTTTTCTTTTATGATTAAAGTGCTGTCAACTGCCTCCAGCTCTTCTTTTATGATTTATGTGCTGTCACCTGTCTCCAATTCTTCTTGTATGATTAAAGTGCTGTCAACTGCCTCCAGCTCTTCTTTTATGATTTATGTGCTGTCACCTGTCTCTAGTTCTTCTTTTATGATTTATGTGCTGTCATATGTCTCCGGTTCTTATTTTATTATTTATGTGCTGTCATCTGTCTCCGGTTCTTCTTTTATTATTTATGTGCTGTCATCTGTCTCCGGTTCTTCTTTTATGATTCATGTGCTGTCAACTGCCTCCAGCTCTTCTTTTATGATTTATGTGCTGTCGTCTGTCTCCAGCTCTTTTTTAATGATTCATGTGCTGTCAACTGTCTCCAGCTCTTCTTTTATGATTAATGTGCTATCAACTGCCTCCAGCTCTTATTTTTATTTTTTCTTATATTGTCATCTGTCTTCGGTTCTTATTTTATGTTTTATGTGCTTTCATTTGTCTTCGGTTCTTATTTTATGTTTAATGTGCTGTTATCTGTTTCCAGTTCTTTTTTATATTTTATGTGCTGTCGTCTTTCTTCGGTTCTTCTTTCATGATTTATGTGCCGCCATCTGTTTCCAGTTCTTTTTTTATATTTTTTGTGCTGTCGTCTTTCTTCGGTTCTTCTTTTATGATTTATGTGTTATCATCTCTCTCCAGCTCTTATTTTTATTTTTTCTTATACTGTCATCTGTCTTCGGTTCTTATTTTATGAGTTATGTGCTGTCAGCTTCCTTCGGTTCTTTTTTATGAGTTATGCGCTGTCATCTGTCCCCAGTTCTTCTTTTACAATTTATGTGATGTCTCCAGCTCTTATTTTTTGTTTTTTCTTCTGCTGTCATCCGTCACCAATTTTTCTTTTAATGATTTTTGTGCTGTCATCTGTCTCCGGTTTTTTTTATGTTAACTGTGCTGATATCTACATCAAATTCCTTTATATTATTATTGTACCGTTTTCTGTCTTCCCCTCTGGTTTTTGCGTTGTCAATTAACTCCGGTTCTCATTTAAGAATAATGTATATTAGTAAAACATTTATTCTCCACATTCAAATCGAAAGGTCGCTAGTTAGTGACAGAAATTTATGAAACTCGAAACTACATTTGAATCAAGACTAACAGACGTGTCTTAAAGCGCGAATGTTTACAGTTTCAATCTGGAGCTGGCCATAACCAGTTGATGGGCAATAAACACGTTATAGTGTCATACATTGTTAACTTTACTGCTTCGTTATACTGACATACATTGTTAACTTTACGGCTGTCACTGAACAGGGCTGTTCCACTTGTATTACAACCTCCCCGACGGTTTCTGCATGTTCAAGTACTGCCGAGATACACTTAAATTACCGTTTAAGATTTGTATTTTAACAGTTTGTCAAGGGAGAAGTCGAATTACAATGATTGAAAGCTGTGTACTTTATTTAGAGGTATAATCAGCATTAGTAGAATTGAAGAATTTGTTTCACAATACATGGTGTGTATGTAAGATTGGATGAAACACATGATTCAAGTAAAGAATTCCGAAGTATTTGAAGTCCGATTTTCAATGAACTGATGAATCATCAAAGTAAGTTTCAGTCACCAATTTATCGTTATATACAAAAATGATAGCACAATCTGGTTACATGAAATATTATAAAGTATTTTCTCTTTAAATTACTGGGTGTCAAAAAAAGAACTGAAACATTTTAAAGGTCAATATCGATACCAAGTAAAAAACTATGTTCAATCTAAGACTATCCCAACTGTTTAAATCAACTGAATTAACCCAAAATACCTACAGACAAGCACACATTTTCTAAACATTACAACAAACAAATTAAAAAACAAATTAATATGGATCTTATGGGTTGCCATGCTGGTGACGAAATAACAATGAAATAAAATCATAAACAAAACAAATGTTCGAAATTCCAATCACAAGTTTTATTTACAGCGTGGGGTGAAAATAGATAGTCTTTACATTACATTATATTTTTGATCGAGTTTTTGACCACTGGACGACCTCTAGTTTTAATTATTAGCTTGTAAGTTTATAAAATAAATCCAAACAATGAAGGACTGTGGAATTTACAACACGAAAACAGCGGTAAACCTGTGTCAGGGATGTTGTAGTTGTGACTCGTAATTAACTGGATTCATCCCCGAATACAAACAAGAAGCCTAAATCTTTCCCGAGCTTAATTGAAACTGATAACAAGACGGGTTTAGAATCTGTTTCAGCTCTTTGCACAAATATTAAAATTTAATCAACGAGATAAAAGCTCCTCTTTGATTACTGAAAGCAAAACACGGAAAATCTCTTAAAGTGACTGTATTCAATGATAATCCTGATTCGATTATCTATCGATTCATCCGGATAAAAGCTGGAACGAGATCGTCATCGCTTTAATCTAGCTGTTTGCTCATGTTTAAAAGGAGGTTCATTTGATCTTGGAGTGTATTTTTCTTTAAACGCGATTATTGAACAGTTTTTTTTATCGATTGAAAATATTTCTAAAACACATTTCATTATTAAGTAAATACATTTTTTCAAAGGTTTAAACATCAAATTTCACACATAAAAGTGACTCAAACGTCAATGTATTGAAGATTTATTTATTTCATTATAATTATTGCGTGCAAGCATTATTGAGACATAGCAAACAGTGCAAAACGAAATTGTATCAGGCAGTTTCTTTTTATCTGAAAACTAACATTATTTTATTGATTAGACAATTATTGTACATTGTCAATTACTGTTATTTATTTATAAGTATTGGAAAATTGATTGTATATGTCCTGTACCAAGGTAATAAATAAATAAACAATAAAACAGGGTTAGGACCATGTCTATGGTTAGGACCCTGTTCAACAAGTTGGGACTTGAACTTGAAAATGAAGTTCACGGATGGTTAACCGTTTTACGGTCATATTTCCATATTTTTTATAAAGGTAAAGGATAAAGGTTAAGGTTCTTAGCCTGTGTATATATTGGGATCACGTTGACATTGTAGCGGACCTGAAAAATAACTTCTAGAACATTCGCTTATTGGGTCTGATGATGATTGGAGTGTCCAATCGAAATCGATCACTTACTATCTTATATATGTATTTACCGTCTTGTGAGTAAAAAGTATAAGTATAAATATATTATTATAAGTCTTATTTGACTATCTTTTGTGCTTTCAGACCTTAAAAACGAATGGAGTAGGGGTTGGGCATTACAGAGATGTTCGTTTAGTCATTCTTCTTCATTGGGAAATTGTGCTTCAATCCGTAGTTCAGTATTTTCGATTCTTTTTCACTGAATTGAATGTCTGTAAGGTTGATGACTCTCTTCTGGAATTTGTGTCCTATACTCGTCCTACCCAAGCCTTCATTCAGTGTATTCTTCTCTACGAGCTTAACTAATTTGTTGTTCATCCGTGAATACTTCAGGTCCATGGCGTCTTCATCCTCTTAACTGACGACTTCATGTAATAAATTCCATGCGATTACTTTATTTAATTATTGTCTTTTATGATTGAATAGTGAATCTGTGATAAAATATTCTACTTGTGTTGAAATCCAATTGCATTTTTGAAAGTGTATTTTTTTCGGGAGAGACAAAAAATTCTATGCTAACTAATTGATCAGCTTAATAATTACATGATTCTCATAGTGTTCTGCTTTCACTATATTTTGTACATGTTAGATAAACAAAATTAAATAAACCTCTTCAGTCTTAAGTTTATTAAAAATCTAACTTACACCAAGTACACTCTGACTATTCACAACTAAATATATCAAGGAACCTAAATTTAAGCTTATTAGAATTTTTTCTCAAAATCCGTTGTTTAAACCACCAACGATGAACAAGTTTTTATAACTTACTGTTTTAATCTGTACAAGCAAGGGTTTAGTGAATACCGCGAGAGCTTAATTGGAACCAGAATGACTGTGTAAATATTGTCTTTTAATCTCGACCAGGTGGAATTTAATTACAGTTTGTCACAGATTATGTCACACTGTGGGAAGAAAGCGTGAAGATGCCGTATAAACTGTCAGAGTGGCGTGGACACTGTAGTCTGGGATGGTCGGTCTACAGGCATGGCTCGTCCTGGCCGTGGGACTCCTGGGGGTCCTCGGGGTCCTGGGGGACACCCGCGACATCGCGGCAGACAGGGTGGAGGAACTACGGGAGTCGCCGCTACTAAGGCTGGTGCGACAGGCTCAGGAAGTGAAGCTGGAGCCGGTGAAGGTAAGGATTTAGTTCTCGTCGGAATAAACTGTTTAAAAAAAATATATAGCTCACATAAACAAACTATAAAAATAATTGTTAAAAGCAATGTGACACATACTTTCTCCCATTAGCTTTGCAAACCCCTTGTTACTGGTAAGCAGTGGGAGTAACTTTGATATTTTATGTAGAAAAAAACACATAACTTGAGAACTGTATTTTTTCCAAGCAAGGGGTTGTATTTTATTGTTTAGAGTTAAAAGCATAATAAAATATACCAAATTTTAATTTTAATCGCACGAGCGGCCTTTTTTATCCGATTTTTCTGGTATTTTATAGAAAACTAACTATTGAAAATAGAAATTTCAAAAAATTATCATCAAAATCTGACAACAAGTGATCTATAGCTCTGTAGAATTGCATACACTTACACAGACATCACTTCGAAGCCCCCTTTTCTGGGATCAGGGGACCCAAAACGGATATATCCACCCAAAACCCAAACTCGAAAATTTTGACTAAAACAATCCTTTCTACGGTTACTAGATCCTGTATTTTGATTTTATGGTAACAAAGCATGATAAAATAACCACTTTAATAGGTTTTAAAAAACAGGAAAGTGTTGTAAACTGAAATTAATATTAATATTCATATAATATTTACCCCAAAAGCCTAAACACAAATTAAACCAAAAAAGTAGACGAGCTGTCATATTTTAAGGGACTACTGTTTATATCGATGATGTTTGTTAGATTTTCCAGCTCTTTGACAGATGATGACCATTTCTTTATACATTTTTTTCATTAATTATGTTAAGTTGAATGTTGGTCTTAAAACGATTAATTCGTATTCTAAGCCTAGTGAATTATTTAAGCTAGATATTACGTTATAAATTACATTTTAACAAACAAACTATCATAACTTGTGTAAATTTTAAGTCTAAACAGTTAAGTTACAAACTGTGATGAATACTATAATCTCAGACAGGATTAAAGGTATTGTAACTTTCTTGTTAACTTTTAAACAGTTCTTTGAACCTCTGCTTCCTGTCTAGTCAAAGTAGATGAAAACCCGTGTCCACCAATCACGTATCAGATTGTTCATCGAGAATCAACGAGGCTCGCTTTTACGATCAAACGAACAATCTGTTTACATTAGTCACAACTCGTTGGTATTATGAACTCTGAACATAACCTGAAGAGTCCACGTTTCATTATGATTATTATCAACGGATCTGCCCTTATCATGTGGTTTGTTTATATAGCGTATTAGCTTAAATTACACGCTGTTGAATTTTTTGAAAGAGATTTAAGGTATTGTTAGATAGTGCTTCTGTGTAATTAATAGATGTTTTATCGTGTAATTCGTGTGTTTGTTCCATTTACACGTCAGTTTAGTATGTTTTCTTCTAAGAAATAGGGTTTTAATTATTATTGTATTATAGTCAACTATTTGATGTTATTTTTAAAATGAAAGTATATTGAAAGTATATAAATGAGCGTATATTAGCAATGTATATCCTTTAATTTGTCTAATTTTGTAGGTTGTCGATAACTTAGAGCTGAAAAGACTGTACGTTTGTTTACCAGACTCAAGTTTTTAAAATTGTGTACACTGTCCATCTCGGTCGAAAACAACTTTCAATGATTGTGTGCTTTTTGTGCTCTTGAACATAATCAAAGCTTACAATGGATGGAAAAATACTAATTAACGGATTTTCAAAATACTTTTGTAAATACTTAAGAAACAATTACGAATTTTCAGTTCGTCCATCGCATAATTCGGATCTTTGTGAATATTTTATTTAAACTCGATTTTAACACTTTTAATAATGCCAGGAGGTTCTTTGTAGGATCATGTTTATGTGATAACCAGCCTCAAGTTTTTAAAATTGTGTAACACTGTCCATCTTGGTCGAAAACAACTTTCAATGATTGTGTGCCTTTTGTGCTCTTGAACATAACCTCTTAACCTCTTAAAATAATGGTTACTTTCGGGTCAGTAACATGATTTTTTATGTTTATGATCACTACTCATCTTCGTAAGTTTTAGGTTCTGTTCTATTATTAATGTTCGCTACCAAATATGTATCATTTTGATCTTCAAAACAATTTTTTATTCATTTGAAATATTAAATGATTATCTGGGTATAGTTAAGTTTGCTATTCAATTAAGTCGAATTTTGTCATGTAAACGCTGGATACATCTTATTTATAAGAGCATAGCTCGCTCCACTCAAATATCTACTCTGTGCAGGGAGAGGACAGTGAACTCGTGCGTCACAAGAGACACAAGCACAGTAAAGGAGGCGGAGAGGAACACCACAGTCACCACCACAGCAGCCACGGCCACAAGGCGGACAAAGGCTACAAGACGAAACACCACTTTGACAAGGGTGACCACGGGAAACATGGGAAAGACAAGCACTCTGGCTTCTACAGCGACCACGGCGGCCACAAGAAGAAATACCACGACGAGGACGAGAAGTACGGCCACCACCACAAGGGGGAGAAGGGGCACAAGGCTGCCAAGTACGGGGAGAAGGGGGGACACAAGAAGGGGCACAAGACTAAAGGGTAGGTAAAGTAGATGATATAGGGAGGGGAGGAAACAAAATAGACATGTAACTAGAGTTTAGGAAGGATAGATTACAACTTAGTAACGCTTTAAGTTTGGGGAGAAGGAACACAAGAAGGGGCACAAGACTAAAGGGTAGGTAAAGTAATGATATAGGGAGGGGAGGAAACAAAAAGAGACATATAACTAGAGTTTAGGAAAGATACAATACAATTTAGTAAAGCTCTTTGGGGAGGAGGAGCACAAGACTAAAGGGTGGGTAAAGTAGATTATATAGGGGGGGAGAAAACAAAAAGGGGCACAAGACTAAAGGGTAGGTAAAGTAGATGATATAGGGAGGGGAGGAAACAAAAAGAGACATTTAACTAGAGTTTGGGCAGGATAGATTACCACCTAGTATATCTCTAAGATTGGGGAGAAGGGGCACAAGACTAAAGGGTAGGTAAAGTCGAAGGTAAGTAAGTATAGAGAGGGAAAGATAAAAATAGATGGGAAAGTAAGGATAGGGAGGAGGAAACAACACTAAAAGATAGATGAAGCGGAAGACAAGTTAAAATAAGCAATGAAGAGATAAAATTTGATGAGGAGTGTAAGATAAACGTATTGCAGGAAAGGGAAGATACAAAAGAGGAGAAATGACTAAAGCATAGGAAGGGGAGATTACAAGAAGAGACAGACAGCTTTTAAGTTTGGGAGAGGAGAGGACAAAAGGAGTAATACCGCGTTTAAGGGCAGAGAAAAAAAAATACATAAACAACCGTCTTTTATTTATTAGCGTGAAAAACAGGATAGAAAGTTGCTCTTGCTTTGCAATAATTATTTGGGTTCTTTTCCATTTTCTTCTTTGGTAAAAAAAAAATTGAGTACGTCTTGATTTATTAGCCAGTTCCAAAGTTCTTTTTTCAGTTATTTTACTGATAGTGGTTTTGTATGCAGGTGGACGGGGTTTACAATTTTGCAGCCAGTATACGATTTCTTACTGGATTTTGTGTTGTGTTGGTTGGGAAGGCTGAAGTCTCTAGCTCCTCTAGTCAGGTGGTTGTGGAAATCCTGATGTAGTACATTACATGTTCAACAATTTAGAGTGCTGGAACTGTCAAAATCTTGAGGGATTTGAAAGCCTCTCTACAAATTTCCGTAGGATAAAAATTAAATATAAAACAACACTATCCGCTAGAGGAAGTCCAAGCTAGGTTAACAATATTAAGGAGAGGATTAAAATATAAGTATAAAATGTTTAAGCACGAGAAACAGAGGATAAAATAGGAGACACAAAACTAAAGCGCTAATAAAGTAAAAGATAATCAGATAATACAGTTAGAAATATAAAGTACAGAGAAATTGGTGGAAACAAAACGATGAATAATTATAAGGGATGGAAAGGGAAGAATGTAAACTTAGTTTAGGGAGAAGAAATTACAAGAATAAAGAGTTGAAGTTGAAAATAATGTGAACATGAGGAAAGATTTAATCCAAAAGACTAAAGCATTGTTGAAGTTATATTATTAAAACAAACTATTCACTTCGATAAAGTCGGCTAAAGTAAACCGAATTAGTTTCATTTGTGTTTGGTTAATGACTATAATGGTTTAAAAGAATATTTAGAACACTAAATGAACTCGGCAATCGGTAAAGTATGCTGAAACCCCTTTTCAAGTCTTAACTTTAACTAGGTTAATCTGAGCCCCAATTAGAAAACTAATCAATAATTTATACTGACCGCAGTGAGTGCACTTTTTAAAGTCTTTTTAAAGGTAAAATTATCTGAAAACTAAATATTGTAGCTTGTTTGGAATCAGTTAATTAGTTTAAGATTATGTCCTATCTAGTTTGAGCTTCAAGTTACCGGTAACTAAATGTGTGGCGATTTCTAACTAACTTCGAAAAATAATATAATAATTGTAACATTTTGGATATGTTGATTATTTTCATTATCAGTTGTAATAACCATTTTTTAAAATCTCGTTGTAAACACCAATTTTGACACTTAAATATTAGTATTTTAGTTTAAAAATATTAAAATAAACAACTGAAAACACAAGACTACATACCAACAAAAATCATCTGTTTCTTCAGTCAGTAAAATTTACTAGCTCATACCAGGGCCCAGTTTCGAAAAGAAAATCACAAACTACTTTCAAAATCCATCCGGCGGAATTCCGATTACTAGGCGAGCACTACTTAAGCTTTTCCAATACGCTATCTAGCGTTTCTATTGAATTGTAATTGCCTACTTTGATTAGCTGTGTAACCGTACACTATTCACACTAAATTTGTAAATTACTGAATTTGTAAATTTATAGTGTAAATTTACTACACTATTAAGACCTTACTTTGGCCAGGAAATAACTGAAAGAACTACAGGTCGTAATCAAATACTTTGTAAATTATATAATAAAACAATTATAAATTAAACCGTTTGTAAGTTGAGTAATAAATATTTTTAGGAGCGTTCATACTAACTTTAAGTGTGTTTTCATTGTGGTGGCTTAGATTAATTCAATATTTGGACAAACGTAAAGTTAGTTTTTTTCTAAAGTTGTATAGTGAACTAAGTGGTTGAAATTGTCGTATTTGGGACAAGACTGGAATATAAACTGTTAGGCTAAGTAAAGGATAGGTCCCAGTTTATTATATGAAGTGTAGTCGCCACAAAAAGGAGATTCAAGACTGAGGGTATGTTCACAATTAGATTAAGCGAACCCTTCAAAATTAGATTTACTCCTTGTTCCAAAGGAATCTTGGTTATTTTAACCGATTCGGACTAAATCAGTACACTTCTAACATCCTAAGACACCATAACATTCACAATGTTTAAATATTATTCAGCATTTATATTAAACTAAAGTTACGTTTTAACTTAAATGTTCAAGTCCTCAACGATATTTTAAAAAGACTTATGACTGGCAGAACTAAAAAAAATCTATAACTGTTTAGGCGCATCGAGAAAGTAGGATAATTTAAGAAAAACCTAAAATTTCCAAAAAATATATAAGTTGGTAAATACCAATGATTGAGATGACAACTATAGTAGGAACGTGATAGTTTATTACCAAAAATTACTTTGTTTTTTTTTTAGCAGTAAGTAACAGTTTTTAAACTCGTCCATGTACAGCTATAATTATTATCTAAGACGGAGATATATTTTATTTTAACCTTAAATTATGTAAACGTTATTACATGAACGAATAATGTTTTTGTTTGATAAAAAATAAATCTGTAATGACAGAATTAGTGATAGAAATACGACTTTTGTATATGGAAACTTAAAATCAATTTACCAGTACAGTGAGCAGTATAAATTATTGATGGCAGTTTTCAAACTCGAGCCCCGATTAACCTAGTTCGAGTTAAAAGACTTGAAAACAGGTTTCATAACTGTTCTACCAATTACAAAGTTCATTTATTGAGCACTTCAAATATTCTTTGAACTATTCCAGTTATTAGCTTAACACAATCAAAACTCATTCCGTTTACTTTGAACCATGCAATTTTATTTCTAAACCTTATTTGCGATATATTGCTGTTGCATGCATTTTGTAAGCTCTTTGTAAACAAGTTTATTTCAACGAAATGATTTAATTGAATGTATCATTGGTATTGATTCAGTTCAAATGCTTCAATTAATGTTTTCAAAGAAACTTTGAAGTTGAACTAAGAAGATCTGTTTGAATTTAAACTAATTACCTGTATTTGAATCGCTTTTGGAAAAATAATCCTTTACTCTTTTTCCATGTTTGTACAGTAGAATCTAACTATTCATTACTTTATATAGCAAACGTAAATGAGTATACTCGTAATTTTTCATACATTTTTAGTTTTCTGTTCTTCCTTTCCAAAATATATGATCAAATAACTTGTTTGTAAACAAAACGTTAACAGCAGTTTATCCTAACATATGTGTCCAATAAAAGTGTGCACATGTTCTCTATAAATAATATGGAAATAGACGAACTTAAGTTCATCTGTCAATCTTACAAACTGCCTCGGAGTTTTTTCCATATGTCTCTTTTGTTTCTTATTTGGATCACAACAACTCCTTTAATGAGATTCAAATACTTTAGTGTAGTAGTATTTGTGATGAGAACACAAAATATCTAAAGTTAGTACACAGCTTAAAACATTTCAATGAAGGTACACACTAAATAAATTCATAGAAAAGGACTTTAAACTGGACGATTTGTATAGTAGCTATACAAACTCTACTTATCATAAAGTTAAACCCTAAGCCTTGAGTGCAAAAATGTGGTAATAGTAAGGAGTTTGAAACCTTCATTAAAAAGCATTAAAATGCCAAAGACATAGATACACAAAATGCAATATAAAACAGATAACACCATTAACTATTTATATAACCTTTTTCAGATACCACAACAAGTTCCACAAGGACGAGTACCACAAGGAACACAAGTTTTACGACGACTACAAAAAAGGCGGGAAACACAGTAAACATGGCGCGTTCCACGGACACCACGCCAAGAAGGAGGGAAAACACAAGAAAGGAGGGCACCACAAGAGTGCCTACCACGACGACCACCACGGGAAGAAGGGGCACCATAAGAAGGGGCATTACGACGACGAGCACAAGGGGCACAAGGGCAAGAAGGGGCACGAGGAGCACCACGCGCACAAAGAGGACTACGGGAAGAAAGGAGGTCACAAGAAGGGGAAGAAGTGGGGATTCAAGAAGGGGCATCATTGATTCTAGTCCTCGACATCGAGTGTTATTTATTTGTATATTTCGTAAATATAATTTATTTTTCGTCAGTCACTTGTTTTGTTTCCCCTTCAATAATGTGGGTTTAACTCATAACAAACCCAAGCTCTATGGTGTTACAGGTTTAGGTTTAGTATGAAATACTGTTAATACATGTAACTATGCTTAATCACATGCAAGTGTATGAGACTAATCGTTCTTGGTCACATAGATTTTATTTTGTATTCAATTCTTAAAATTGATTAACACTTTATAACAGCTCCAAATTTACTACAGGAAAAATGTACGAAAGACTCAATTCAAAATTATTATAAAACATTTGCAAGTTGTACAATTATTTTGAGTGACTATACTTATTTTTTCCTGGGAACACTCTGTTGTATTTTGTCCACAGAACAGAGTAAAATAGATCATACAAGTTGTTTGCTAACAATAGTATATCTAATCACAGTTTTATAGCATGAAAGCTCATAGTTATCAACACAAATACGATTTCAGTGCGTTATGTTATTTTCATTTGGAAAATTCAGACAGAATTTCCTCATTTATTTGCTTCGCTATGTAGAATGACCGGCTCTGAAGTCCCAAGAGGATCTGGAAATTCCAACCGCTATTTTCCAACGTCACGTCAATAACCATCGAGTGAAGGATTGGTGTGTGCATATTTCAAAATGCTAAATTTTTACCAATATTAGTGTGAACTTTCCGTACTTCCTGACTCTTTAGTTCTTGTTGTATAGAACGAACTAGTTGTGAATTTGATTCTCGCACGAATGTTACGACCACACGAGTGTTACAAGTCCCAGTTCTGTGACAGTTAACACGGTTACCGCTCCACAGCGGCAGTTACAGCTGATGCAATTACAATCAGCTGTTATTAGTTAACCTCGTTTGCCACTAGGGTCGCCACTGTTGCTTTTAGCTCCAACCACCATGACAGGGTGGTCTCTAGAGCGCGGTTAATTCAGTTTTAGCCCTCAGAGATAGTAATTATAAGTCGGTTCTCTGTCGTGTATTCTTGATGAGTTTCGGTTTGGCTTTCATCAATTTGTAAGCGGTCAAAAGGCGTTGTGGTTGTTGTAACAGTTTAATAAACGTATCATTCATATTTTATGTTACAAGTTGGTTATAATATGGTATTACATTTGAGAATTGTATTTGAACAACAGAAAACGGTCTTAGAATAAATTAAATTTAACCATGATTTCCCCCTAGAGGAGTTAGCTCGGATTCTCAATACAGATAAAAAACTAGAAATAGAATATAATTTGAAAATATTTTGGAAATATTTCGCGAGGAGGAAACATGGACACAAATCTCACAAAACATGTTTTATTTATTGTTTAATAAACCTTAAGGATGGTTTCAGAATTCCAACAGCGAAGAACTTCTTAGAATTGTTATTGAAATGAAGCAAGCGCATAAATATTCAAATTTAAGTTTCTTCAGGTAAGAAATATTGAGTAATATTTTAACGTGCAACTAGTGGCTGTTTGCTGAGTGTCGTCTGCTAACAGCTGATATAACTGCTGCTGATGCCGTGCTTGGGAAACAACTTTCATTAACAATGACTATTCATGATTTATAACAATGTAAAAATGACAGTTTCTTAAATAGATGGTTTTCTTTGTGATACACTTTATGGCTTAAATTTGACAAACCTATTGTTTCTCAGTAGAGATGGTAAGCAAACTTAAATGTTACCTGAACCAAGATGAAAACATAATTTTTATCTATATTTTCAAACAGATTTGAGTCAGGGGCATTTACATAATAGGAGTTCTCTGAGTTTTTATTTGGAGAAATAATCAATTGGATTGTAAGCTAATCCTTATATCGTGCTCGTACAGCGCAGTCTACTTGGAACACCCGTCCGTCTACATGCTCTATATTTTATTTTCCCCCACCGCCCAATACTATGAACACAAGCTTGTAGAGTGGACCAAAAAAGTGGTGGAATATCGTGCTCGTACTTCGCGCAGCCTACTTGGAACGCCAGTCCGTGTGTCTGTCCGTCTACATGCTCTATATATAATTTTCCTCTACCGTTAAAGTGACAACACTATGAACACCAGCTTGTACAGGGGACAAACAAAATGGCGGAATATCGTGCTCGTACAGCGCAGTCTACTTGGAACGCCCGTCCGTTGTAACCTTTTTTTTATTATTAAATATTATTTGTTAGGTTAATTGAACTAAGCCCAGGTTAACTCTGAGAAGGGGGGGGGGGTTGTTACTGAATGCTTTCAAAGAGTCACAATGACAGAAAGGATCCTCTTCGGGAAGGCGCCACCTTGTTTACTGCAGAACGTCCACCGGCCAACAAGGAAGTCCAATGGCAGTACAGGGTTGAGATTAAAAGGTTTACTCTCGAGGACCACTTAACTTATCATTCATACTCACTTACTCATTTACTTATACCTAGACACTTTAGTGAGTTAATATCGCTAATGGTTTTGCATGAGCGTGAAAAGTAAGATTAATTTGTAAGGGAGCGACTAAAGTTTGATTTTAACCACAGTAGGAAATATTGATATAGTGAAAACACAACAATTAAATTTGAATTACAATAGTTTAATAAGAAAATTAAAAGTTAAGAAGATTACAAATCTCCAAAGCAAGATATCGACACAAAAGTTAACGATAGTCGAACAGATTTCATATCATAATTATGGGATAACAATAACTCAACGCTCAATCAAAGATGACTTTAAAACATCGGTAAATATTGGTGGCCACCTTAACTTAAGTTGAATAACTCTGTCTATAGATAAATTAAGACAAATAGCAATGAACAGAAAAGAAATACAAGTTAGATACCGGTCATAGTTAAGAGATCAATTTGTACAGAAAGAATTTAAAGTGAAGTTTAGGATAACTTAATTGGTCTACTTAGCGGTAAGGCGTATCAGGTCCTTTCACAACACGGTATTTGGCGAGACAAACAGAATTCCAGTGCGATTCGACTAGTAGGGCTAGAAGATAGGCAGGCCTAGTCTTGGATAGGTGACCAGGTCTCATCCAGTAGACAAGGACATCTCACGAGCCAGCATGCCCCGCACATATCCCTAGAAAAGGGCCTCATGAATAGTAACAGTCTTATACCACAATGATACATAGCAGTCATACACTCTGTCTTTGGCAAGTTAATATTTCACAATTATAACAAGGCTATGGAAGTTTATCTTCACTAATTAGTTAACACCAAATGTCAATACGGGTAATTGGTACCAACCTAACCTAACTTTTAACAGTTCACTTGATGACACGTTTTAGTCTCTGTTTCGAGTTCACATCATTCGATGACTGTTCATATAACAAATATTTACTTTAACAACAGGTTTAAAATATCACAGCAAAAGTTCAGTCTTTTGAAATCACAAGTATTAAGATTTTTTACACTCTGGAGTATTTCCACGATCATTTTGTTTGTGTGTTCATCACTTTTTGATCCTGAAGTTATGCCAGATAATACACCCTCCACAATTTCATTCACTATGGGGGCAGTGCAAATATTTTGTTCCTTATATTTATTTGTGTAAAATGCCCTTTTAGTATCCATCATAGCCATGACATATACACTGTCGGCATATTCCCAAGCTGATTTTATATCCATTTCATTGAGTTTTTCCTTATCAAGATGGATACAATTTGCTACTAGATAGTGATACAATTGATGTATTTTTATTACAAATGAATACAATTTGGAATCTGGCAAAGTATTTAAAAATGGAAATTCGGGGAATTTGTTAATTTCTTTTTTCTTTTTCCCATCATTTTTCTTTTGACTCTGATTCTTGTTCTTCAATTTAGTAGGAGAAATCACACATCCCGGAAGTGTGTTCTTTTTGGCAGTTGGAGAATTAATATCAGATGCATCCAATTCATCCCCATCTGCTTTCACAGTTGACTCATCACCGTAATAATCTTCTTCTCCAAAATTTTCTTGATATTCTTCTCCAGAATCTTCTTCGTAAGATTCAGATTCTTGTGACTCATCCCCACTCTCGTCTTGTGGCTCTTTACTAGCTGCACTGTTGTAATCGTCACTTTTCGAAGACTCATTCTCTTTTACATCAAAATCCCATTCTAATATTTTTGGTTTCCCTCTAGAGTAAATATGAGGTCTTTTTTCCACATCCTCCTTGTACCATGCTTGCATGTCCTTCAATACGCTTGTTGGATCGCCTGGACTATCCCTCATCAATCTGAAAAACATAAGTTGCACAATCCACTTTTAGAATTCCCAAAATATTTCAAAAGGCTTTCGTGGTCTAATTGTGCTCTTCCTATTGAAATAATGAATGCCACCTTCGCATTGACTAATAAATCTTTAGTAATTAGATCTTTTGAAATTTCTCCATACTGATTTGTCCACTCAAAGCGTGTTGGCAAGTATTCTTTGCTTTTGCCTTCGGTTAAGAATGGAGATAGGAGCATCAAAATATTATCTGGCCTAATTTCATCTTCATTTTCGCTGTTCAACAAACAAAATACCTTGTAGTACCAATCTTTCATTTCTTCGAGTGACTTGTTCATTTTGAGACCAATTTTTTATAGTAATTATTTTGATAAAGTTAAAGTGACTTTTCCTCGAGGGTAAACCTTTTAATCTCAACCCTGTACTGCCATTGGACTTCCTTGTTGGCCGGTGGACGTTCTGCAGTAAACAAGGTGGCGCCTTCCCGAAGAGGATCCTTTCTGTCATTGCGACTCTTTGAAAGCTTTCAGTAACAACCCCCCCCCCCTTCTCTGAGTTTACCTGGGCTTAGTTCAATTAACCTAACCTTTAAAATTAATAATAATAAGAAAATGGTTACAAATGGCGCCCAACGTGGCCGTTGAGTTTCATTATTGAGTCCAAACCACCAATCAGAGGTCTACAACTTTATCGATTGAGTGAAGATGGGATGTAGCAACCGTTGGAGCGAAGAGTATGAAGTGGTAGAGGCGTACTATATAAAATATTTTACAGTGACGAAATGAAATTCAGAATGCGGTCAGGCAGTCGATGCGCGCTTAAAGACTGAGATGGAATATTTAGCGGGTGATCAGTCCGCTAGTCTGTATGTAGGCATTACAGATTTTCAGAGCGTTACACCGTCTACATGCTCTATATTACATTTTTCCCCAACAGTAAAGTGACAACACTATGGACACCAGCTTGTACAGTGGACAAACAAAATGGCGGAATATCGTGCTCGTACAGCGCTGTCTACTTTGGAAAGCCCCTCCGTCTGCATGTCTCCTCTATATTTCAATGCACTTGCGGTACGAGCTTTGGGCTTTCTCTAATTTGTGAATGAACGTAGAGTTTCTTTCGCTCTCAAATACCAACTCGGTGGAATTTTAGTGACAATGGTGGTAAACGAACCACTTCAAACCCAGTTCTGCAGCCTTTTCGTATGAGGATGCTGGACGTTTGTTTAGACGAACCAACTCGTACAATTCAGGTCTCTTTAGTTCACCTGAAACTGAAATTCCTCGTTTGTAGCCACTCTATCATCGCTGATTTTATCGATGAAGAAGTCGTTGTCTTCTCCTTTAATCCTCGAATGGTACGGTGCGTTGTCCATAATTATTTCAGCTCCACGAGGAAGAACTGGGAGGAACATATTGAAAAATCATTTTTCTTCATGTTCTCGTGGTAATCTTCGGTCTTCTTTGATTGAAACAACACGGGGCTTTGACCCAACCCCTAGAATTCCTTGTGTGGCAAACTATGAGACTTCTCTCTTTTCCTAATGGTGCCGCTAGAGTGCATTAACTCAATAATCTGCCTAACATTTTCCCTTGAATTAATTTCGATTCAAAATTTCAACTTTAAAAGCTACATTTTGATTACAAGTGTTACCTAGAACTAGAACTAAGAACTAAGGAAGCGAGAATATCTGTGGCTGAGGAAGGTCCTAATCTTTCTGCTCGTGAGTGTGCGTGCGTGTATGGGAACTGACCTGGCATCCAAGGTCGTTCCCAAATCTTCCAAAATTATAGTTATAACAAAGCTACAAGGCGTCACACTTCATTTTACTCTCATCCTTCACTCATATTAGGGTTGAAGTAGGCACATAGGTGGCGTTCCCATCTCAAATGATAATCATAAAAATGGATCTTTAATTATCTTATTACAAATACACTTGTTCAAAACATTTGGAACAAAAAAAAATTTGTAAGGTGCATAATATTGTCATCATTATTCTCTACATTTTTTGTCTACCATTTTTACAAAAGAAACTCAAACGCTAAAGGAAGTTTGTCTAAACCCCTCAAAGTTGATTGTATTAAAATTGTATACAGTACGAACTGTTGTAGAGAAAAACAGAAAAAAATCAACAGTTGTGGATGTATCAGGGATTGAACCGAATCGTAACCTGGATTAGTGACACTCCACAATTATATTCATTGTATCAAACCAGTTCCACAATTATTGTTCAAAATGTCAGGATTTAATCAGTAACAAAAAATACAATGAATGCAAATAAAAAGAAGAATAAAACAGTGCAATCACAAGAACGTTATTTAAATACAAACCTGCCTCGTTTACATAGCTGAATCCAAACAGTATAATATTTCCGTGTCTCGACGTGGAACAAAAAACATCGCATTGAAAAGTAAACCCAATCAGAAATACCTATTTGCAGAGTCAACAGTGTCTATGTATTCTTATCATTCCGACGTGAGCCTGGTTGAAACCCATTTCCAAAATTGTTTACTTACAATTCTGCTGATCGTATCCAGAAGAGGCGATTTAAATTCGTTTGTGAAAACGACAGAATTTCCTTCTATTGAGTGTTTCTTGTTTATTTTTACCAAATATCTCGTGTTGAGAATAGAATGTAGTTATTTTTTTTAGTTATTAATTCTTTTACTCGTATTTTTGAAAAGAGAAATTAGAGCTAGTTGTTGAGTTAGGTTTACATGTTAAGTTTGTTTCATTTAGCTGTCTATTGTGATGCAACTCTTACATGTAAAAAAACTATTTTATGAAAAAAATGTAAATCTATGTAATTTGTCTATAGTTTTTTGTTAGATTGTGGAGATTTTTCTTGCATTTGTTGTGTAGCCGATATCAATAAGAGTAGGTACAAGTAAATCAATTTCCCATCTATTTTCAATTTACTTTTGAACTTACATATTGCAATCTTACGAAATTCAACTGATGTGGTTTCATTTCATATACATTTTAACTTTACATGAGGGTTTCCATTATGAAAACTCATTTGCAAAAACTTTTACAAAATAATTTAGTTCTGAAAATAATATTATGATTTTCTGTAAAAGCTTTTAAAATTTTTCTAGGCGAAATTATTTCCCACAAAGGAGAAATGGATGTATTCCATGCTTAAAATACTATACCATAGGAAATAGCATCATATTAGTTACGTATCATACAAGTGCAATGATCCATACTTCAATTTAAAAAAAAAAATGCAACAAAAACATATAAGTGACACTGTTCAAGTCAGCATACAGTAAATTATATTTCAATTAAATTATATGGTTCAAACTATTACACACACACAAAAATACATGCAACCGAAAAGGAATATTTTAAATATAAAATGTGTTTCCCCAAGTATTACCGTGATAAATTACTCTCTTCAAACTCATAAATATTACAACACAACACTTGATATGTCAAAGGTTCTGTTAATTTTCCAGGAAAGTTAATACAACACGAAGTAATTTTGTCAGAGATTACGATTGCCACCCACTTCTGTTTGATGGAGTTAATATTTCTGTCGGACTGGTTTTAGTTACTTCATCTCATATAAATTCCACTAATACATACGTTGTGAGAAAAGTTAATGTTTCATAACTGTTGAGTATTTAAATTGTATTTAAATGTAATTCCTTCAGAAACCTTTAGTTGGACCATGAAAAGTTGTGAAAGGATTGTTTGAATGAATTTAGTTGTAGGTTTATTTTTGCAATTGATGTATTACAGGTTTTATTAATGTGGGCAAAATTATTAACACGATTTTTATCAGGCTCTTTAAAAACATTGAACTTTTGTGTTTGAATATTTGTAGCAGCTGTTTTTGTGGAATGCATGTAATTTAATAACAATCAACAAAATTATTACCCTTTTCTTCTTGATGACACTTAATAGTTAACTTTCTTCTAAATACTTGCATACCTCTAGGTTCTATGTATCTTGTCAAGACCTATGCGCTACTCAATTAAGTTTATAAAAACCCTAACTAGAAAAGAGTAGAGTAAAGATGGAGTTTATAATATACTTGACTTAAGATTCTCGGGGGAAAAGGTTGATCGGGGAAGGGAATAAAACAATGTAAAAAAACGTATTGTTAAGCCAAAACGTTATTCTGGAGTTGTGTGCTAAACTTAAGTAGTCATTTATATTGGTACCAGCAAATAATTTGGCTCATAACAAACGATGTTTTACCCTTCTTAATCATTCATTTGTTGATATCGATAGCATGATATTCTGCTTAAGTTTTTATTCCTCCAAACAAAAATGGTCATTCCATAAGGATACCAGATACTGTATCTGAGAGAAATCAAGATATACCAGAAACCAAGAGAAACACATTTTTAACTCCTTGGAGATTTGTTGATTATTGTGTAGTAGTAAGAGAAACAAATTCTAGAACATATTTGCAATTGAAATTGTTGATTCAATTTCATCACCAGTATTATATATAAGTAAAATTAGATTATCATTATGGTAGCCTAATGAAGTGAAATAATATTAATTTACCTACAGACACAAATAAATGCAATGACACAGTGAATGCAATGATGAGTTAAAATGCATGAGACACAGTCAAAATACGTACATGCTAGTGGAAGCACAGTCTGAAGGTGTTATTCATTATTGGACTATCGAGTAGGGATATAAACCAATAAAAGGTCGCAGATGTTAGAAAGATTAGGGTTTGGAGCGTTCCCATGAAAAATTCCAAACGTAGAATCACGAAACACTCCTTGCACGATAGTTTCAGTGTGTTGCATCAAATCAACTCATCCATACACTTCGCCGCGCTTCACTTGGCGTTTCAGATGATTTGGCGCGAAGGCACGAGCCCAGCAGACCGACAAATGTCGCAAGTGGGATGAAATAAAGACATTGGGCAAACCGACAACCGGACCGTGTAGATGTCTTTATATCCAGGAGGGAGGAGCTGGAGGAATAGTCACCATGGTGCTTCTGGCATGGTTGCTGGTGACGCTGGTCGTGGCAGAGGGAAGGACGTCGGATCATGAGGTGGGAGAAAATAAGGATCTCTTAGTCCAAAAATCGGAAGATCTTCATAGACTCCGGAGAGATGTGGACTCTGCAGTTGCTACTTCCTACGGTCATAAGGGGAGCCACAGGGGCGAAGCCGACCATCACTCGGGGAGGACCTCGGAACTTGAAGTGGGAGAAAAAGATCTCGTAGCCCAAAAATCTGAAGATCTTCTCAGACTCCGAAGAGATGTGGATTCCGCCGTAGCTGCTTCCCACGGGCACAAGTGGAGCCACGGGGGCGGAGCCGACCATCACTCAGACCACCACAGCAGCCACGGACACAAGGCTGACAAGGGCTATAAGAGTCATCATCATCACGACCACGGCAAGAAGGGGCATCACGACAAAGAGGGGAAGAGTGGACACTTCGAGGAGCACGGCGGCCATAAGAAGAAACACCATGATGAAGGGGGCTACCACAAGGTAGGGTAATATGTCTTTTACTTTTTTCAACGTAGTTTATTTAGGCCATTTGCTTGCTCGATCCCTAATTTTGCCTAGAAAACATCGAACTTTTAACAGGGGTTTATGAATAAAAGAGTTAACAGTGAAGATATATCAAAACACTCGTTATTTTATTAACAAACCCATTTAATTAAAAGTTAATTATGTTTCAGTTAATAGACCAATTTATTTATTTGTCAAGATAATAGATCTATAGATTGTAAAATTATGCAAATATATCATCAATTTAATTTCACTTTACTAAAATTTCAAACTGTTAATAAAACCTTAGTGAGTTTATTTTAACTTTTGATTTAATGAGTTTTCTATTGCTTTCTGTTCGGTTCTTTTAACTTTGAAATATCATTTTGGAAAATATCGTGTAATACATTCCAGTAGAAAGTATATCCAACAAAGAAATCAATTTTTTTTTATAAGTTCACAAAAAATAATAGTTCTATGTAGCCGATATCGTATCTATCACAGCTGATTATACAAAGATGGAGTTCTTCTTTAATGAAAAATTAATTTGGTATTTGTGTTCTGTGTTAACAAAGGTTACTAATAGTGATGTAACACATATATTTCATTAAAACAAAAAGCACATGTTTTGGAAAACCTCAGGAAACATAATTTCAATGTGTGTCATTTTTTCGGAAATGATCAAAATATTAGTATTATATCAAACGAGTTTTTTTTTTTATCTCGCCCTGCAATTAGTAAATATTTATTTTTAGTGGAGTACAAACTTTTTACATTCATTTATACTAGTTTGCATATACTTGTTGTTTTGCCCGTGCTGCGTGACGGGGCAAGAATACTTAATAGAATAATGCTCTAAATCTATTGTAAACAAAAAACAGTTGCAGTGCTTGCAATGCAAATTATTCAGGTAAATCTCAATCGTGTCAAATGCTCATTTGTGCAAACTGTGTGACAGGATCAAAACTAATAACTTTATCATTATGTAAACGTCTGTAATGAACTAGGGTAAAAGTAAACATACAAACCATAAATGGTAACAAATCTAACAGCTGACGCAGCTTCAAATTTTCAAATGTTACTAAATACAACCCTTAAAAGCAGTCAGAAATCACAAGCAATCAGAAAATGACTGTTAATTTATTCCAGGAACACCACAAAGGAGAGAAAGGCCACAAGGGACACAAATACCACGACCACGGCTCATACAAGAAAGGCCACAGCACCAAAGGCAAACACTCCGTTCACAAGCTGGACGAGCATAAGAAGAAGAAACACTTCTACGACGAACACCACGACGAGGGCCACCACAAGAAGCACGGAGGGTACCACCATCACCACGACAAGCACCACGGTGGGAAATACAAGAAGGGGAAGAAACACTCGGGCTACCACGAGGACCACAAGGGGAAGAAGGGACACCACAAGAAGGGGAGTCACCACCACGAACACGCGGGGCACAAGAAGGCGGCCGGACACGACGATAAGTACGGACACAAGTCTGAACACGGGAAGAAAGGAGGACATAAGGATCACAAGGAGTGGCATTGGCATAAGAAACACTGAGGTGGATTCCGGAGAGTGTTTGGTTATGAATGTAATAAATACTTAGTTTTATCGAATGTATGGATCAACTCGAGACGATTCAAGCTTTTGTCCGAGATTTGCTAGCTGGGAATTGTTACTCCAGGACTTTCATTAATTCAGTCTAAGCTTAGTAGGGTGTTGAATTAAATAACAATTAAAATATTTTTGATTGGTCAGATTTGAACCCCCAACCTCGGGGGGGGGGGGGGGGCTCGGGCACTCCTTCACTGCACTGTACCACTGAAACAAATTGCTTCCCATCGTTTCCCACCAGTTACGTGTCATTTAACTAATTTTATAATTCTTTTAATTCAATACTTTGTTTGTAAATTATTGCTGGTCGTCTGGTAGTGACTTATGAATTAAGGCACAAATCGAAAGTTTTTTTTACAATAATACAGATATTTAGTCGAACAAACTTATAAATGGTTGAAAAGTCTACTTGCAGTGTTCATGGTCAATAGTCTTTGGCTAGGTGATTGTTGGAGTTGATCATTTGTTTATGCAAACTTTTAATTCGATATGTGTTAAGTTTGTGATAAAGTTGAGTACAATTTTGTTTGTCTTTCTCACTGTCAGTAAACTAAAAGATTATTTCGTGGAATGACTCATAAAAATTTCTAGTTGCAAATTAAAAAAATCTACAATATTCTATCACTATTAGGATGACCTAATGTAAAAATAGAATTTTCTTTACTATTGTTTTATTAGACTTAGGTTTATTTATTATAAATTTACCAGTTTATTTTTTTGTGAATACTGTGATCTGTTATGAGACTGTTTATACGATGTATTTTGATTGTTGTTTGTTGGTTTGTAAGTGTAAATAAAATTTGCATTTAACTTAATTTGTGTTTGTTGTTATTAAAATCTGTAGTACTTTCTTTGTTTTTTTAGTTTCTAGATTACTTTTTATTTCACGACTTAATATTTAGTGATAAGTTTTGTATTAAAAAGACTTAATTTTCTTTAACTTCAGATTGAGATAGTTGATAACTGTAAGTAGCCGTTTCAAAATGAATGTTTACAAAGAAGTAATAAAAATACTTCATTCCTGAAATATTTAGAAACATTGAGACGTTTGTATACCATAACAACATGATACTCAATTTGAAGACATTTTATTTACCTGAATGCATTACAAATTTGGCATCATACAAAAAAATCATAGTCAAATTATGTATTTAAGAAATTAACCCTTGTAGCAATATTTCATCTTAAATTTGTTGTAAATTATTATCTTTTTCACTCAACCTTTCTACCAATATTTTTAATCATTTACTTCATATGACTTTATTAATGTAACTTGTCTAGCGCAAAACAGTTCTCGCCCGAAAAATCTATTCCTTCTAATCATAAGGTGGGTCTGAACGATTTGTAACGAAAGAAGATGGATCACAGCTTCATATCATATATCTTATCGATTTGATAGGTATAAACCTCGCTCAGCAGTATAGAAGTCCAGACCATTTGACCAGGTAGTGCTAAATATAATCAATGATAACCTTTTACTTATTCGCATAATTAGTAGGTACACGTGAACCATTTAAAATTTAGTCTTAAAATGAATAACATCGTAGTACATCTCTTCTCCGCAGTTTACATGTTACAATGTTTACTCAGGAAAGGTGTAGACGTTCCGATCAGTGAGTGTGGGATTGTGTCGTAATCGGCGCGAAACGTGTAAAACCGGCGGGAAATTGATTGTTCAGTGGCCAGCGGTTAGTTGCATAAGTGGCCTGACCGCAAGCTACGTGGTTTGGCCCTGGTACATACTGTCGATGATTTGTGCAATAAAAATGCACAATTGTTGCAATGCTGTGTGAAATCGAACTTACCTTGATTTGTTGTAAGTGATGATTTGGTTGTATGTCTAAAGTTATTAAGTAGACTTACGTCCACTTCGCATCCGAGGTCGATATAGTTTGTGTGATAGGACCTGTCTTCTAGCCTTTCGAATACCTGGGGAGTAGTTTAAGGTTCGATCCAATCACAGATAGTCGACCTGTCAGGAGGCAGGTTACATCATACAAGCTGTAGGCTTAATCCTGGAACAGTTAGTCATAGTTAATAGTCTAGTGAGTCGTCTATAGTTAGCCTCACATATTTCTTAATATATCCCTCAACTAAAACTCATTGGCTTTTCGCAGGATTTGAACCCGGCACCCTGAGGACCCGAGCTTTGCGCTAATCACATGTTTTTCCTTTCCAATATGTTGTAGTTAAGCAATTAAATAAATTTTACTCGTTCACCAAAAGATGCTTACTTGTTCACTTGTGTAAAAAAGAAAATGTGATGAATACCTGAGAAGAGTTGCATATTTATAAGGGAAAATGAAATTAAATAAGCTAATCAATAAGTAAATTTTGACTTAAGTTGTACTTAAAGAACTTCTTGCCCGGAACCAATGGCCAAAAGTATATAAATTTGGACGTAATCGATGTTCTTGTCATTCGCCTTTTGGGCCTGATGATGATTAAATGTCTAATCGAAATATTTCACTACTTGCCATCTTTTATATGTATTTATCCTTTTGTGAGCCAACAGTGACAATTTTCATTTATACAACTGTAATGTAAAGAGTTGAACACAGGTTTTAAAATCATTTAGTACCCCATACAAAGTGTTAAATGGGCAACAATATATGTTATTTTCTGTTAAAGAATCAAATTGACAGTGTTTCATGTCATTCATACAAATGTGATTTCAAAACGTTTATCAGAAAACTAAATGACTTATTTTTTTACAAAACACCGTCGATAACATAAAACTATTTAAATGCCAAACATTGCTTTGACTGTTACTACAACACACGGCAAATAAGCCGATAAAGAATGATGTACTGTATTTACATTAAGAGACTATTCAATTTACATGAACAAACAACGTCGCTATTGGTTTATTTGAATGCGGGCGCTTGTAAATTGGTTTTATCTCTCGGCTTCGTTTAATTTTTAAATAGCTTAATGTATTTTTGGATTTATTTTGTAAAATTACGTAAACTTTTGCCTTAGCATACTACTTTAAAATATGCCATATTAGTCTTGAATTCGTAATGTTTTTGTTACATACACATATTCAAAAATTTGGAAATCCTATTATTTAGCCGTAGAGATAATACTTAGCATGGGTTTTAGAAAAAAAAATTATAAAATTACGTCACTGGCTTGAAAGTAAACATGTTTGTATTCATATTTAAATGGAACTGCCAAAATTGTCCAAACTTGATTATATTGGTTTATGTTTATGGTCCATTCTGTTTACTGTTCTAATAAAGGTGGGTTAGTGGAGACTGTTTCGGATATTTCAAAAGTATATTTTTTAAGTAACAAAAATATACTATGTTGTGATCTTTTTGAAACAATGACTCTAACCTCGCTGCAACAACAATGTTTGTGACGTTTACTCCAACAACAATGTCTCAGACATTTGCCCCAACAACACTTGCTCTGACCTTTGCCCCATACAACACTTACTCTGATCTTGGCCCCAAACAACAATAAATCTGACCTTTGCTCCAAACAATAATGTCTCAGACCTTTTCCACACTCTGACATTTTCCCCAACAACACTTACTCTGATCTTTGCTCCAACAACAATGACTTTGACCTTTGCACCAACAACAATGCCTCTTACCATTGTACCAACAAAAATGCCTTAGACCTTTGCCTTAACAACAATGACCCTGACCGTTGCTCCAAACAACAACGACTTTCGCATTCACCCCAACAATTACTCATACCTTTGCCAAACAATGTCAACATGTACAACAATGTCCTTGACAATTACCCCAACAACAATGACTCTGGCCTCTGCTTCAACAACAACGACTGACCTTCAACCTTACAACAATGTCTCAGACCTTTGAACCAACAACAAAGCCTCTTACTGTTGCCTCAAAAAACAATGACTTTCGCATTCACCCCAACAACAATTACTCATAACTTTGCCCCAAACAACAACATCTTTTACATTTGCTCCAACAACAATTCCTCTGACATTTACCCCAACAATGACTGACCTTTGTCCAAACAACAATTACTTTAGTCAGAGCTCACAGTTAAGCCTCTGTTCTAGTCCTACCCTAAGCTAGCCCTAGGGAGCGATGAGTGAATGTTTAATGTCGCATGATGGCGCTTCGGGTAGTTTGGACAACTCTGATTAATTAGCCAGCTATAATATGACAAACAATAACGACCTGTTATCTCGCTTCAAGCGTTAAACCCTGTATAAACTACATTGCACATTTGGATGGATAATTCCAAGCTTTTTACGTCACATCGTGATAATAGGACTTTGATTATGGAAATATTCCCTAATGCCTTTAGCCTATGTAAATTTATGTGTACTATTTGTGCAAATCGACGTTGATGGAAACCTCCCATGGAAAAGAATAGTGAAATTTAAAAATAAATTTGCATATTATTACATATAGCTTTTAAGATTTAAAATACTACCTAAACTTCAATAGAAAATCAAATACAAATTTTAAAAAACCATTAGTACGATGTACTTGTGTGTAGCTAAAACCAAGGTGCTAGAACATCAGGAACTATTGTAAAACCAGTTCATAAACATAAGAGATATTTAAGGAGTTACGAAAATATACTTACGAAAGCTTCCTAGATGGACTAAATAAAAAGAATTTTAAAAGTGACCACTGATTGGGTGGAAGTTTTATTTAATCGATTCCTGATGACGAGGGGAGTTACAAACTTTTCCCAACCATAGAAAGACTACAGTGGAACAAGGTGCTAGGGCATCAGTTACTATTTAAAAACCTCTGCATAAACATAAGAGATATTTAAGGAGTTAAATCTTCAGTTGTTAGCAAAACAAACTTATATTTGCCATAAATAATAGACAACGAAAATATACTTACGAAAGCTTCCTAGATGGACTAAATAAAAAGAATTTTAAAAGTGACCACTGATTGGGTGGAAGTTTTATTCCATCGATTCCTGATGACGAGGGGAGT